TTATGTTCCCTTGATAAGACAAATAAAATGGAGTTTTCTTTGAAGCAAACATAGTTCTTCCATATTGAGCCATATCACCTTACTGATGTTACAGAAGGCAATAAGAACTTATAAGTGAGGATAGGTTAATGCTACTTAAAGCCACTGTCTAAAAACACTTAAATTTGCATATAAAAACTGAAAAAGAAATAACCTTCTCTCCATTGTGTTTATAAACAGATTCGATAACTAAAGAAGCTTTCTAAGTCATGCTTCTTTGTATAATTAGCAACTTAAATTAAGAGTGTTTTGAATAGCAAAAAAATAGCAGCCATTTACCATGTCTAAGCAGAATTGGAATTTAAAAAAGAGAGATACTTTTTGTCACATAAACAAAATGTATACATGTTCAAAAACTATTTTCTCTGTAGTCTACCCTACAGAAACAAAAGACTTCACGGGATATTTTAATTTTTTTAAATTTGCTGCTGTTGTTGTTTGTGCCATCGAGTCGATTCTGATTCACAGCGACCCTATATGATAGAGTAGAACTGTCCCATAGGGTTTCCAAGGAGCGGCTCATGGATTTGAAACCTCTGACCTTTTGGTTAGCAGACTGAGCTCTTAACCACTGCGCCACCAGGGCTCCTAAAGTTAATTTATGACTTGGATATTTTATTGTCAAAATGATTTTATACTACTTTCCACTCTCTCTCATCAAAAGCAGTATTAGTGTCTAAATAGGCCATTTAATTTTTTAAAAAAATAAAAAAGACAGAGGAAGAAAATGAGAATTTGTGGTATGAAAAAGACACGGTACAAATCTGCTCATATTTTAAAAACATGGCAAAATATAAGGCATAAAAGGTTTCTATAGATTTCAGGTTCATGTGTTCATTTTTATAAATGACACCTTTCTCTATATGCCCAGAAATAGAAAAGCTCTGGCATACTTCACAATTTGTAACCATTAATTCTAATAAAAATTATAACAAGATTTTTTTTAATCATAACAAGAAGCCTAAATTGTGTCAACTGTTACAGATTCATGATTCAAATGGATTGTGTACAACATAAAAAAAGTGAGAACAAAACCACTGAAAGAATGAAAAACCAGAAAATGATATAAGATTCTTGAATATCTACTAGAAGACTGCTCACTCATATGCAGAGATTTAACACCAAGACATAGTCATGGGCCCCTATGCTGTACTGGTATAATTCAAGAGTACAGGTTTGCCAGAGCTTATCCTTTTCCACCCTCTATTAGTTTTGTGACCTTGGGCCAAGTAGTTAAATTCTCTAAGAAGGTGCTTCTTCATTTGTAAAAAGGGTGTCTCCCTCAAATAGCACACATTTTACAACTTAAGTCATTGACAGCATCCAACACGGGTAACAGCACACAGCAGATTAGTGGTGTGGTCATTCTGAGCTCTAAAGCTTAAGAAGCTAGCCCTCCACCAAAACAGGAAAAAGAAAAACTACAGACTGGGAAAAATTTTGGGTGATGACATATCTGACAAAGGTCTAACCTCTAAAATCTATAGGTAAATCCAACAACTCTACAACAAAAAGACAAATAATCCAATTTAAAAATGGGCAAAGAATATGAACAGGCACTTCACCAAAGAAGACATTCAGACAGCTAACAGACACATGAGGAAATGCTCGAGATCACTGGCCATTAGAGAAATGCAAATTAAAAGCACAATGAGGTATCATCTCACTCTGCCATTACTGTCACGAACCAAAAAATTAGAAAATAACAAATGTTGGAGAGACTGTGGGGAGACTGGAACTCTTAAGCACTGCTAGTGGGAACGCAAAATGGTAAAACCATTTTGGAAAATGATATGGCACTTCCTTAAAAAGCTAGAAATAGAAATACCACACGAGCCAATAAACCCACTCCTAGGAATATATCCTAGAGAAATAAGAGCCGTTATGTGAATAGACGGCCATGTTCACTGCAGCATTATTTACAATAGTAAAAAGATGGAAACAACCTAAGTGCCCATCAACAGATCAACGAATAAACAAACTACGGTATGTACACACAATGGAACACTACACAACGATAAAGAACA